CCGACCCACACTGTTTCTGGCTACGGCCGCACAGCCGTTCGGCTTGTGCAGATCGGCAAGGAGTCTGGCGCCGCCCTGGCGACTCACTTCGATGCATACGCACATTCATCTCGACGGCCTGCCCACTTCGGTTCGGGCTGCTGCGCCTAAGTGCGATTGCCCTGTGAATTTAGTTCATTTTGTTCTGTGCACGTGCAACTGCGAGTTAGTCTGGCAGGTGCGAGCTTTGTCCACCGACTCTGGCGGCAATTGTCTTGCAAATTAGCCCCGTACCGTGACCCGGACGCCGCTTCCGCTCCCTGTCCGTTGCCTCGGAGCCGCCGACCAAAAAAGCATCCCCGCCAGCCCAGTGCGCTTCTCAACTTTGGCGGGAAGGGTGGTCGTCATACGTGCCCCTCCAGTTTGAGGGGCCTGGCCGCCCAGCGCGGTGTCAAATTAATTGCGACGCGGCTTGTAGTTTTCGCTTGCTGGTTACCCGGGCTTGCACTTGCTCTGGACACGCGTCGCGAAGGAAAAGGCCAAACTTGCACACAGCTGGGACAAACAATTCTTCGAATTGCCATGCTGATGATATCTCCGATCCCTCGAAATATTCCTACCATGACATGGAACTGCGTCATTCGGCGGAGTTGCTTCCGATCCGCTTAATGCTTATAACTCTGTTATCCCCAAAACCGGATTGGAAACTACTCCACTCCAAACCCTATGAGTTGTCGAGCGGGATGCGCCCACACGTGTAGTTCGAGCGCTTATATTACGAACTACTCCGCGCTCATGCGCTATTGGCGAAGGCAGATTGCAAGAAACTTTCGCCACGGTGACGTATATATATATATATATATATATATATATATGCACAAGAATGTATATGTGTACAAATGCTGACCATTCTCTCCCAATCAAGCGTTTCCGATTCGTCTCTCTCGCTCTCTGTCCCTCACTCTCTCCTCTTTGGTTTTGTCTGCCTTTGCCCTGGGAAGACGATGACAGTTCCAAGGGCAACTGTCGCAATAGGAGATGCCACTTTTGCAAATGTGCGCCCCGACGCCACTTGAGGTATACGATTCCCGCCAGTACATGATCAGGGATGGCCCACCGCACGACCACGCTGCAATTCAGTTATACTGTGGTCGCTGCATGAGAACCCATCAGCTGAGGCATTCCAGGTATTCTAGCTGGTGGGAGGTCAGTGGAAGAGTCGTGCCACACCTGTAGGCTAGTGATGGGCAGAGATTTGGCCCTGATGACCCTTCTGTGCCCTCATGCTCAAGTAAACAAATCGCGTGCAGAGCAACATACGATTGCTGCAACCAGCATCATCTTTCCCACGCCTCGCATCTTGCTGTGTTGCAGTCGTGTGCTGCTGATCCACATTCGAGGTCGGGACACGAAGGGAATGCGTATGGGGCCACGAAGAGCGGGGACACGAAGGGAATGCGTATGGGGTCACGAAGAGCGCGAACGAGCGGGGGAAACGAATGGCAGATAATGCGGGGCCACAGATTGCAACGATGGGGCCACTGAGGGTAGCAACTGGGCCACGTAGGACAGTGAGGGGTCCACAAAAGGCGACAGCGGGGCCACGAAGGGCATGCACATGGGGCCATAACGGGCGCCACTCCTGGGTACCTGGGTGTCGGGAGCGCGGCGCTTGAGCAAATTGCACGACATTCCAACTCAAGGGCGCTATTCTTCAGTAAATTGCAAGCAAGTCTCCAGCGAGAGCGCGACTCCAGAGCGCCGGAAGAGCGATTCCTGAATAAATTATAAGGAAGTCCTAAGCGAGAGCGCGATTCCTGAATAAGATGCGAGGAGGTCTCGGGCGGGAGCAGGGGTCCTGGCTCAATTGTGAGGAAGTCTCAGGCGGGAGCCGTTGTTGTTGTAATCCAGGGGCCAGGGGCCCAGTTTGACCATCAAGACTTTCACTGTCAAAAGAAGGGTGCAAGCGTCGAGGGGCACACTTTGACCTAGAAAAAACAGTATGCACCCGTGGGGGGGGAATCAACAATAATTATTCTTCAGATATGAGAATCAACAACACCAACAACCACCACCACCACCACCACCACCACAACAACAACAACAACAACAACAACAATTACTAGCACGTGGGGACACTCCGTTCTCACCAGTGCCAGGGTTTTCGTAGGAGGCGGGCAATACCCCCACTTTGTGGGGGGGCCGGTTCAAGCTCTACCAAATTTCCAAACGACTCTTCGCCACCACCCACACCCAGCTTCCCGCCCTATGACGTTCGGACACTTCACTTCGTGGCATGCGGACGACCGTGGCTACTATTCA